CACTCGCATATACCGTAATCATCCTTGAACTGCTTGAGCTGCTTGTTCTTACGATAGGCTTCACTGTTCGAAAACACATTATCGTCGCTGCCAAGTGGGAGAAATCGCAAAGCAACACTTTCGTAGATATCCTCTCTCTCCGAAGACATTGCTCCTAAATGTGGTTGCTCGGACCGCATCCTTTTCACTGGCCCTGAAAACAAATTAGTGCTTTTGTCGAAAGCAGCCTACTATAAATCGAGATTTAAGAACTGCTTTCAAACCATTTTTCCTTTACTATTCTTTTTTGTGAATATTTTTTTCCATAAGAATTTTAAATTGAGTTTAAAGAAAACAAACACAGTTGATTGTAATCAACCATGTACAGATTTGATATCAGTTGCGTTCTAATATGCCTCAGCTAGCTTCTTTAAGCAATCCACTAGTTAAAAATACATATACAGAAACACATGAGCATGAGCTAATTGTAAGTTTGTTCTATTTTTTGACGGGAATACAAAAAAATGTGTAACGATGGATAAAAATGAATGTAGAGACTGGAAAAACATGAAAACAATTAAGAATGAAACTAAAACTTCCAGTTCCTCTGGAAAGTTCAGTAAAGTCTGGCACAGTTTCGAACGGACACTTAAAATCAGGCATATAAATGAGGAGAGAATTGGCATAAATCTGTCTGTAACAATATTCCCTCTAAAAATACGTTGCAAAAATGAAATCTTACAATTTAAGGTGACAAAGTACTCATAAGCTTTGTCTTCACGTTCTTCGTCGCTCGATATTATCAGCGCATATCGGCCACTTGATTGCACGTAATGCAGCATACTTACGTTTTTAACCTGATAGCGCACCATATGCCATCCAGTCACTGGACTTCCCACTTCGTAGAAACCGATCAGATACATACCATCCAACTCCATATCATTTCGGGCCGTTTCATCCAAAAATATCTGCAAAGCCAGAGAGAACAGAACACTGGCAAGGGAAGCATCGGTATCCACCTATGTGTTAATTGTTGGCCCTCAAAAGACATTGCTGAGAGACTGAACATTTTCCTCAAAAACTTACAAAGGGGAACCGCATAAGAATTTTGCTGCATCAAACCGAAACCCAGAGATACCTATTTAAAAAGTTTCGCCTTCTCTTTAACGATAAAGCTTATACTGGCGAAATATTCAGGGAAAAAACTGTGGCAACCTACCAGATAACAGCCAGGATATAGCAAAATTTGATAAGAAAATCCAGGCTGCGAACACACCACGCCTGCCTGTGCGATCATGCATTTTTGCATGGCTCCATTCTGTAGAGAGATCGCCTACAGCACTCGGGTATAATTGCGCTGCTGCAATATGAGCATCCGATGCGACTGTATAGGTTCATACCTAGCCAAAAACTCATTTTATAATCGGGGATTGGCACTTTGCTAACGACAACTTTAGCATTTTTGCATACGAGTTGTATGCATGCGCTAACGCTGATTTGAAATTTTTAGCCCACAATAGGCCATTGAATATTTCTGCTAAACTTCACCCTTCTATTTTTTTTAATGCGTTTTTTGCAGCAATGCAATGCAAAAAACGCATATTGACGAGAGGTTGTCTGTGTGT